GAAGCATCAAATGGACCAGTCATATCAGTGCTACAAATGCTCTGTAGCGTTTGAAGCGCTAAGTGGACCGCAGCCCCAATAATACCTACATCGTTGAGTTGGAAAACCAAACAAGGACAAATAAGAAGAAGAAGAAGAATACCTATATCGTCTTATATACATATATGTGTGTATTATATAAATTATTTTAATAAGTGAGCAAGCATTTGATATTGAAAAATAATAAAAACTATATCAAATTTTACCAACTACATGTAGCGCTATGACAGATTTCCTAACCTCAATAGTCGTCAATTTTAACGCTTAATATCTCTGCTCGCGAGGCAGAGCGACACTTTTTTCTGCCAGATTCGTTGATTTCGTGCAAAAACGCGTCGAATATTAAAATCGAGCCTAATATTAAAATCCGCTCGCGCGCGCGATGTGTGAGGTCGACCGTCTCCTTCATAATTACCCAAATACAATATTATCTAATTTCCGGTAATTGTATTTCTAAACATAATATATTGTAAAAATTAAACAAGTCTTTATTTACATATATTTTCTTCTTGAGACTTACTCGTATATTGTAGAGTGCATTTATTCGATGCAGTCTAACAATTAAATCTCAAGAAAAATAAAAATATATGTAAATACATAGTATATTTATTTTGTACAATACATTATGTTTACATGCATAATTATTAGAATTTGAATAATATTACTTATTTGTATACATATTAAATGACTGGAAATGAATTTCATGTGATGTGCATAGTGCATCATTTATCTTTAACATTCGATGAACAAGAATAATGATGCATCATATTATTTCGGCTTGGATTTGATTTGTTCCACTCTTAGACGGGAAACACAGGCTCTCGCATAACGCATAATTATTTATGTTTAAATTATTATTTAGTTATTCCAATACCCGAATGTCAACTCGTGGATATTATCCGAGTATTTATATCTTTCAGTATTATTCGAATAACAGAGGTTGAAACTGACAGCATGCACATTAATACATAATATAATAAAATGTTTAACTTACTAATTTTCGTTTACTTTCTCCTTTTCGATCTATGCGACCCCTAACTAATTCTGCATTCTCTTTTAAAAGATTAAATAATATTATTTTTTGCTTTATTGTAACATTCATTTTTGCTTATAAATGGATTGTATCATATACGAGTATTCTTATACACTTTCAAATATCGAGGTCAAAGACTTTAGTCTTTGATCGAGATGTCGCCGTTTATCATAATAATATAACCCAAACAGCACACAATATTTATAAAATATTTACAAAATATTTATAAGATTTATTTTAATATTTCATAAATATTTTTGTGGTCTTAGATTGCACAGATCATAAACATTATTATAAATATTATGAAATATTTATTGTAAATGTTATAGTATAAATAACTTAATGAGACATTATAATCCAAGTAAAAAATACTTATTAGAAATATTTAATTTTATTTATTACAAATATTACATAAAATATTTAGTCTTTATTTTAATAATATTTCGAATAAAGCTTTATATAAAATATGTATGAAATATATATATAACATTTCAAAAAAATAAATATTAATAAATATTTATCATAAATATTCATAAATATTCTGTGCTGTCTGGGAAGGTACTAGTATAATACTAGTAATTTCTTTATAGATGTGGTGCCATGTTTAGTGATTTCACTTTTCACAAATCCTTCATACATGATCGCTCGGAAAAGTTCACGCGGAATCTGAATAAGCGGAATTGTGAAAAGTGAAACTTTCCGCGTGAAATTACATGATCGCTACCCTGCATTGATAATTGTACCTTGTTAATATACCAAAACTACTCGTTAATTAAATAAATTTTTCGTTAACTATGCCCCCAGAATATCTCGTTGATCGAACATGTCTCTCTGTAAATTATAGGGGCATTTCGTTTTATGCATAATGTTCCTTGTTTCATCGAATGTAAACAAGGATAAATGAAGCATCATGCGCATTATGCACTATTAATCTATGAGCTTACACACTTAAAAAGCAATATATAACATAGAGAAATTCAAATTAATCTTATTGCTATAACTTTCAAAATTTCTGTACATTTTTCTCAAAATTATATTGACGACGGAAAGAGAAGAGGTTTTCTCATCAACAATGGAACATATCATTTTGTTCCAATTTACAGGAAACAACACGACGACATAAAACAATACAGTATATTCGCCTGATTTGTGTCAACTAACACAATAATTGGTCTGTTACATGGCGCTGAGATTAAAATTAATCATGATTCTGATGATCCAAAATCAAAAAAATTAAAATCCCAACCAAACTGAAAAATATTAAATAAATCCTATTATAATGTAATATTACGAGTTCGCAGTCTTAAATCAGAGCTCCCGCGCTCGAGCTAGCGAAAGCTCTAGAGCGTGTATAGGGAATTTACGATCGGCGCCTGGAAGGCGCTGCGAGCGCTAAACAAAATTTCTCATGCATTACTGCGAGAATGGAAGGTCTGTTATATACCTGCGAAAGAGTTATCCTAATGGACAAAACTGTGGCATACGTCTGAAAGAAAGTATGCTATCATTATACTTAATGAAAACAGTTTTATTAACCCTTTCGCTCAGAAAGCGGGCGGTTCGTCGGAATACCACCATTGATCGGGATCCCGCGCCAAAAGTGTACACATTATATGTGGACAGTTTTGGGCGTTTAAAATATTATTTTATGCCCGAATAGCATGGACAACGCTACCTTGACATGTTTTTGAAAAAAAGGGATTGTCCCTTAAAATGAGGTAATTATAATTTCTTTGTAAACCGTTTTTTAATTATCTCTTTCATGCCAGTGGCATTATATGTATCAATATACTACCACTACAAATTATGTTTAAACATTCATTATTTGACAAAATCAGTGTTAACAACGCTTCGTATGTGGTCGTACAGAATGGTTTGGCGTAACTCTTACTATAAGGAATACTATAAATTACTTTGCGAATGCTGGCTGTAGACAGTGTTCGTCTATACAGATCGCTTTGCGTTTGCTGAACATAGCCAGCGTTAGGAGAGAAAAGGTTAACTTTAAAAGAATTAATTATAAATAAGATCTTGAATACGTTCTATTTTATATATAGAAAAAAGCCCCCTATTATGAGATAGGCGCCTAATATGAAATAACG